AATCCTATCAAAGACTCCCTGGAAATTAGCAGATGCTTGATTGAACTCCCCTAGCCATATTTCTCTCAAACTGGGTTTTTTTCAAGGGGGTTTCAATCTTTTGAAGGTCATGATTCTCACTAAATGTGATCAATTTCCCTTTTCATGGCTCCTCACTTAGTTCAAAAACCAATACCCCAAGAGCCACAGAAACCTCCATCGGAAAGCCAAACATACTCCTTGACTGATTTTAAGGCATCAACCACAAACCTGATGAAAATCATTATTTGATATGTAACCACACATGAATGTATAGAAAATATGAACATTTCAATGCTTAAAGACATTGCCCCTTACAGCCAATTTTGTTAAACTCGATTCGGACCGGCCGGTCTAACCAGTTAAATAGGGAACCGGACCATATACCGAGCCGAATCACTTAAAAACTCCCTGCTTTAGGACTCGTTCAAAACCGGTCAAAACTCTGAGCGAATCGAGAACCGGTCAAACCCGGTTCGACTCGGAGTTTTTGGTTTTAGCATAACCTGACTAGATTTTTTTGACTTTTTTCCTTGGATTCTGTGTGTATTTCTTTATCTTTCATGGCCCAGGTGTCTCTCTTTATTCTTAAATGACCCAATAACTTTTCTTCAAAGATTTGTCATTTTAGCCCCAAATTTTTCACTATATAATTAAATACAACATTTTTTCTAAAGAAAAAATCCTTTTATTATTTCTCACATATGAACCTCCATTGTTTTATTCAAAATTAAAACTATATCTCAAATATGCTGAAATTTACAGTTGATTATATTATAAATTTGTAAATTTTAATTACTAATAATTAATTTATCAATTGTTAAACTAATATACTTATTTTAATCTATAATTAAATACTTTAAAATAATATTTTTGACTATTATCATAAAAAAATACATAAATATTAAGTTTTTCAATTATTAATGTATATAATAATTATATATTATTTATTACGTCATAATGACGTCATTCGAGTCGACCCCCTGAGTCGACCCGAATTGACCCCTGAAACCCCTGACCCCTACCTTTGTCGGTGTCCGAGCCGAGTTTGACAACACTGCTTACAGCCAAATCATCTTCTCAGACATCTGTTTGTTTTCATTATACCCCATCCGTTAACACTTGGGACAATGGTATTCCAAATTCATGAAAAGCCTTCAAAACATTTACCCGTACACATTTTGTTTACCTCTATCATCGCTCAAACACAAATCAAAAGCAGTAAAAGAGTCCCTTTAAAATTCCCAACCATTCCAAAATTATATGACCAATAGAAGAACACCTATATGTAATATAGCCCTCTTTGTGACATAACAACGAACACTTTTAACACAGTAAATATGCAATAAAGATAGGAACTTTTTGTCAAATCTATAGTATATTATACTAAGAGAGAAACCAGAGAGAAGTTTCAAAAAGAGTTTTTAAGCTGCCACGTAGGATAAAATCCTACGTGTCATTTTTATAGAATGTGGAAAAAAAGTTTACGCAATTACACTGTAAGTCCTTGGAATTTTATGAAAATAATTTTTATCACCAAGCAATCAACATTTATAAGTAATTAATGTCGTTAAGTGGATGGGGGAAAATTTGAAAAAATGATATGGGATGATTTCCCATAATTTCCGAAAGTAATTTATCATCCAAAAAAAATGCACAAAATCCCTGGATTTGTGAAAAACCAATCAATCAACAATCCACATTAAATAATAAGTGAATAAGAGACATCATGAATTGGAGGAGCTTTTTAATTTAAGAAATAATATGAGATTATTTGCCACGATTTTTGAAAGTAATTATTTATCATCCAAAAAACATGAACATTATTTCTAAATTGTTTAAACCCAATCAATCAACAAGAGATTCCGTGAAGTGAAGGAGGGAAAATTTTAAGAAACAAAATGGGATGATTTGCCACAATTTACGAAAGTAATAATTTCTCATCCAAAAAAAAAAACCATAATCCCTAAATTTGTTTAAAACAAATCAATTAACATCTATGTGGCATTTTTATAATGCACATCTCAAATAATATTTTGCATAATTATACTAATAATCGTTCGAATTTTCTGTAAATAAAGATTTAACAATTGCATTTAAAAAGTTCATGAAAATCCTTCATCTACCTTTGATTGATACGGGAACATCTTAAGCAATTATCCTATACAATCAACTAGATGCTTTCCCCGGGTGAATGATCGGGGTGTCGCCTGTATTTTTAAATTGATTAAATAAAAATACGAATCATTCTTAAAAGAATAAAAAAATTAGAAGAATAAAAAATCGATTGAAAGGACGGAAAGTGAGCTATTACACATAAATCTTTGCCCAGATTTACAACATTTAATTTATAACAGTTAACTTATGCCCGGGTTTACATAAATCATAAACCAATATCTACAACAGAAGAATAAAAAAAAATCATCCTTAAAAAATCAAATTTCTTTCATGACAGCTTATTTTTTCTCTGTTGTAGAAAGAGATGGAGATTACTAATTGATGTCAGATTTTAAATAATTGATTTAAAGATCCGGGTGTGAGAGAGGAGCGGAATGGAAGAGATTCTTTGAAATTAGGGATTGGAAAAACATTACTGGTATTTCACTTGATTTAAGGGGATTTACTTACATTTGATTTTATCAACTAAATATTGTTGTTTTAAAGGATTAGTATATACCTATAATTAAGATATTTTTATGTAGCTATAATTAAGGGATTTATGTATTTATCTATGCAATTTTTTTTTCTGATTAGTTAGAGTGCCACGTGTCAAAAATGATTTTGTACTGAAAATGGCTTTTGGCGGGAAAATTTTCATTGTGGTGCTGACACATGTTCTTTTTGTTTGCTGCTTTAATTAAGTACTATAGATATGATGGAAGTTAAACTGGAAAATAAAATCCCATCTCAATGATAATAAATATCATAAATAAATAATTTGAATTTGCCTCAATTCTTAATCCACAAATTAATGATATCTTTTTTGAATTCAAAAACATTAACTACAAAAATTAATAATTCAAAATCTATGAATTGATTGCATAATGTTTTTTGAAATTATATTTTACTCATTTAAGTAAAACATACCTTAATTTACTTCATATGTTGACAAAATTGTGCAACCCAAATTGTGTTTCAACAATCATGCATAAATCGATTTGAATTCCTTAATTAACTAACAATGACTAATTGATACAAAAGAAATGGAAGCAGTATGATATATAGTATAAATATATATATATATATATATATATATATATACCTTAACATAGGTGACTCTGGTGAGCAGGTAAACGTTGAAGAGGTAGATTGGATGGTCATCTTTGTACGTATTTTGCATCTTTTCAGAGTCAAAGAAAGAAGGGAGAGGAAGACCACGGAAAGCAGCAACAAGATGGAGATGCCCGCTCAAACCTTAATTAAGTTTGTATTCCTAATTCCCTTTCTTTGATTAAAATAATATTTATCTTCTTTGTAGCCTTGAATGTATGTGCTTTGATTGAATTTGATTGTAAGGGAGAAAATGAAAAGTATCCCTATTTGATGATGCATGAGTTTTGAGTATACTCCTGACGATATTGAAGTTCTCATTGCCGATGTCGAAAAGCTTTCAAACAGGAAAGACAATGACTTTAGTCACTTCTGATTTTGTATTTTTTATTTTTGGGTAAACACTTCTATCAAATAATTCATTTTTCATATTTTTCTAATGAAAAATTTGAATATATAGTCGTATATGTTTTGAAGGATTATACATGAATTGGTGTGTTTAATGGGAGGATTATAATTTCCACCGAAAACCAATGAGTTTAAGTTACAAAGAGAAAATGATTTTCTTTGTAATTTTGAAGGTTGTATCATATATCTGAAAACCGAAGATTACTAAGATTCATTCAAAATAGTTGTATGTTTTAAAAATTTTGTATTTTTTTAATTAGATTTATTATTATTAATTTTTTCCCCCTTTTTCTCTATTTTCAGTTTGCAATAGGTATGGTGAAAAACAACTATAAAATCAGGTAAAAAACCGTTGGGTGTTATTCATCACACTTTATAGATTAAATCATATTCTTTATTATTAAATTACCCATGTTCTTCATTACTTCAATTAAAGTGTAAATTCCCCCTTCCCCCATATTTTCTCCCTCTTTGTATACTTCAATTCGGTCCATGTTAATTGTTTTATATATATGTCATAATATTTACGCAGTTAACAAAGAAAATAAACCTTTAACATTTTTCATTGTCTTCTTTTATGTAGATATATTTAATGAAAAATTAAATATAAATTTATCTATCCCGCACATCGTGCGGGTTTAACATCTAGTATTTCAACAAATTCAAAATCAAATATAGGCTTTTTTTTATATATATACAATTAATGATGATATACACTTATACACACCTAAATGACACTAATGAATCAATCAATTTTCAATTGGGAAGAGTCAAGTTTGGCACTTTGTCATCATCGAAACACAAATTCAAACAAGGGGAAAAATTTCTTTAAAATTCTCAATCAGTCTACATTGATATGAAACAATCGGAGAACATCCAACAGATCAAAATATTAAGAGCATAAAACCGAAAAAATTGGCATTTTAACTCATTAACAATCAATCGAAATAATAGGTAACCTTTGTCTTTCAGTTTAGTGAAACATAGTCGGGCTTCAGTTTGGCAACATGACGGGAGAAACAAAACACACTGATAGGACTAAATTTCAAAGTAATAGATCTCAAAGTAATAGATCAACTTGAAATTTCACAGCTTTTGCTAGAGCATGCGAAAAGTCGGAGACAGAATATGGAATAGATACCACTGACAACCGAAAGAGGACATCAGGTCGAAGAAATGAACGGGCAAAGGAGAAAAGGAGAGGTCCACCCACATGTTGCCACATCACCAATTACGACCTGCAACTTGGCGTTAACCGTACCAAAAAAGTACATTCGCACTTTATTATATATAAATTATTTGTTAGAAAAATGAATTTTATTATATGTGACATCTTTAAAAATTATTTTTGTTTTATTTCTCTTTTACTATAATACTATAGATACTACAAATTATTTACTCAAAAGACCAAATCTAATCTAAACGCAGGTGAGCAAACGCCACTGTTGCCCGTTCACGATACCGCCGATCCGAAAATCGCCGAACGGCCCATGGCAAAATCACCATCACCACCGCCGCCATTAACTTCCAGGAGAAGCTCAATCCCTCTTTATTTCTACGTCTACGTTGTCCTCTTCCTCTCAGTCATATTGATCCTAATCGTCCACTCCTTCTCCGGCGGCCCAGACTGTACTCCCCACCGCCGTCCTCAGACTTTCTTCACTCGTTCATCCCGGGTTTCCACGCCACGCTTCTCTCTCGTCATCAAAGTCCTAACTTACAATCGCTTACCATCTCTCACTCGCTGCCTCAATTCGCTTGCACTTGCCCACTACGACGACTTCACGCAAGTCCACCTTCACATCTACATTGACCACTTTCCTTTGGAATATAATGACGGGAGAGGTTCTCAAGATTTGGATTCGAAATTGGATCTTTCGAGGGAGATTCTTGATTTCGTTGATCGGTTTAAGTGGGATTTTGGCGATAAGTTGGTGCATTATAGGAATTTGAATGTGGGGCTTCAGTCTCAGTGGCTCGAGGCTTGGTGGCCTTCTTCAGATGACGAGTTTGCCTTTGTTGTTGAGGATGATCTTGAGCTTTCTCCTTACTATTTTAGGTTCTTGAAGAGTTTGATCTTGAATTATTACTACAATGAGTCCAATTTTAACCCCATGATTTACGGCGCCTCTCTGCAGCGTCCGAGATTTGTCCCAGGTACATATGTTCTTCATTGGCGTATTGATTTTTTGCTTTCTTTTCTCTTACTTCAGTGTTTGGTTGACTATGATACATCATATGTGCACCCAAATTAGCTTCATCTGTACTTGAAACTGCTGTTTGTCTTGGATTTGATACTTCTATGTTAATCTGTATTGTTTTGTGATTGAATTACCGGCATCTATTTGCTCTAAAAATGCGTCTGTTTATTAAACCCAGAAATTACATATTTTTTACCATCCTAGTTTAGAATAGTGGTTCATGACTGATTAATTTTCATTGTTTGTCTTGTGGATATAATTTTGCTCCTCAAACTTATCTTTATCCTATTGATATTAGGGGGGAAAGGAGTTTAAAATGGAATGTGTAATCTGAACTTTTAGACCGATTCAGATTTAGTGTTGCCGTGCCAACTTCTGAAGGTCCCAGTAGGGAATATATGGTAAGCATTGGGTTTGTTTTTCGGGATGAGATGGGGGTTCTGAGGTTTGTGAACCTGTTGAAATAAGAGGAAACATTTCATTCCTGGACGAGTTTTGCTCGTTACATGGAACATAGATCTCAAAAAATTACATTTATCCGAAGTCCATTTGTGTAAGTCCCCCACCCACCCCCCACCCAACAGATAAAATCGATACTAAGTTTGTTAAATTTAACTGGCGCTTCTAAAGCAACCTCCAGTTGTCAGTTTTGGTTGCTCTTCTGGATCCAATTGTAGAAAAAGAATCAATTGATCAAGTACACTTAATTGCTACATTTTCTTAAAGGTCTTGCAGACCGACTTTAATGTGGCAACATCTTCGCAAAAGTTTTACTACTTCTGTAATTCTCTTTTGTGTCAACCTATTTGCTAACCTTTTCTTTTAACTTTAGATAGCCAGATGTAGTTAGAAATATCATTTGTAGCGAAATAATATTTTGCTGCCATGGATTCCAAAAATCTTGTAAAGACTTGTTTTCTGTTTCTTTTTTCTTTTTTTTTTTTGAATGTCGAAGAAAGTTTCTAGATTATGTATCATATTTGTTTAGGCTCTGCTTCTTTGCTTTGTTCCATGACCAGTGCATGACCACATGAGGACACAGGAGCACAGATTTTTGTTAGATTTGGTTATCTTTTCAAATACGTTAGCTCTTTTTTGTGCCAATGCAATTTGAATGCAAGCTGAACGGAGGTCAATTTTATGTAGTGTTTGAATGTTAATGACAGGAAAACATGGAAACAAAATACAATTAGATAGTGGAACAGAGCTTTTCTTGTATCAGCTTGTTGGAACCTGGGGTCAGCTGTTATTTCCACGACCCTGGAAGGAATTTCGTTTATGGTATGACAGTCATAAGGCAAAGGGCATAAAACCTATTCTTGATGGAATGGTAATTTCAATATGCGTGCTCACTCACATTTAATTTTCTTTTTTGGTTTTGTTTTTGTTGTTTTCCAGTTTAGTTTACCAACAAACACTTCGTAGTTTTAGTTTAGTACCATCATTTGCGGTTCACCAAAGATTGCATTGTGTATGTAGGTTACAACAGGATGGTATAAAAGGATGGGAGAGAGGATTTGGACACCTTGGTTCATTAAATTTATTCATGCCCGTGGTTATTTTAATATCTACACCAATTTTAAGAATGAGATGGCACTTTCAGTATCGCATAGGGATGCTGGTGTTAACTATGGCAAATCTGCTGGGCCAGATTCATATTTAATGGATGAAAACTCTTACAATAGTATTTTGGAACTGCAGCCATTGAGCAGTTTGAAGTGGTATGACTTCTGTTTTCGGGAAGTTATCCCTCATAGAATTATTAAGAATTTTAGTCAACTTAGATCTGTGGTTCCATCTACTACAAAGTCAGATACAGTTATAATTGTTGACCTGCAAGAGGTCTCAGAGATGTCAATTAGGAACTTGGTTTGTCATTTTGAGAGGCTAGCTATTGGGAATTACATTTTGCTGGGTCAGAAATCTAATCTATTAGATGATCTTGCTCGAAGGGGGCATCCGGTGGTTGATGTGGATCAATTTTTGCTGCCCGAAATGTCTATCAAGTCAAAGGGAATCCAAGAATCTGGTAAAAAATGGCTCAAAGATATTATGGTTCATGCCATCATTACTAGGGAACTTTTACAAGGAAATCACAATGTCTTGCTGCTGGATGGCAACATGGTACCCCTCAGCAGTGACCTTTTTTATTCATCCTCTTCCATCAATGATATTACTGTTGGGCAGAAAAATCTTGTCTTTATGAGGAGCTCATCAGATTCTTTGAAGATCTGGGATGATTTTATAAATGAGATTACATCAATGGTAGACACTTTGGAAAATAAGGGTTCAGGTTCCCTATTTGGCAATTGGGTCAGTCAAGTGGGAAAGGTATTGGATCAGAAGAGTGTAAAATACACAAAGATAGATGAATTGCAATATGGGTTGTATATTGACGCTATCCACAATAACCAGACAAATAGAGGAGAGGGGAAAAAGTTTGTTTTCTGGTCACCTGACATCGATCCAGAAGCAATTGAGAAGAAGCTCATAGATTTAGGTATGTGGGCTGTTGATAGTGAGTTGACTTGCAAAGCGGTTGTTTGCCATCAATCATAGTGCTCCAGAGCATCACAGATTTGATCAGGTTTTGGCAAACTGGGTTCATACTTTTGTCCAGTACAACCCTGTTCTGGAAAAGACCAACAATGGCTAGGTAAGACTGTTGTTGTTCTGTCAACTGCCTGCCGGTAGATTTTCTACAGATAAAGTGGGTACCTCTTTTGGGTTATGAAACATTCCATGCAAAACAGAAGGAATACATATTATTTTGTACCCATCAGAAAGCTAGCTTGTTGACCGGTTTGCAGGAAGTGCAGATCACAGTAACCTTGGAGCTCAGCAGGAGCGTTATCATCCATGTTAGCGGGACATTGGATTTTGTATATTTGTGTCTAGACATGATCTCTTTGCGAAATCAATTCTTTGGTTATCTGCAACAACGCTCAGATACACTGCAGCATCTTTGCAACAAAACTGACTGTTTGACTCTGTAATATGGTTCAGCGCTTGGAGCTGAATTTTGAGGACTGTGTTAAGAGTTAATAATGATATTCCTGCAGTTAAATGATGTCACAAATAGAGAAAGACAATGTAATTGCTTGCTTAATTATTTATTCTTTTATTACACCGTCACATTAACTCGTATATCAGCATGAAAATTTCCTGGAAGGATCATAACAATTTACAATATGGAGATTTGCTGAGTTTGGAGATATCCAAGTGATTATAGCTTCGCGAGACAGTTTAGACTATGATGTAAAAAGTGCCGGAACAGTGAAATGGGATAAAAAAAAAGTTACAAACTATAATGTTTGAGTTCAATTTAGTTAAATGTTAATGCTTGGGACGTAAATTTATATTGAACCAAATGTACGGGACCAATCTGAGGGTTTACTCTAAATTCTAAAATCTTGTTTTAATTTTCGTTCTTCCGAGGATATTTTTTTTAAAGGGTACCTGTATATTAAAATTACGTTCCTAAACTATTACACCGTTGTCTCGCATAAGCAAGATCATGCAATCCACTAATATCGTTCCTATTGACCTTAATAATATTACATAACTGGAACGTATTTATTAAAGTACGAAGATTCGCAACAACTTGGTGTGCCTCTAAAGGAATTCGAGCAAGTGTTTGAGTGGTGGATAATAATTCACAATCTGTGTAAACTAGGATTGTCTGTAAGCCGAGTGCGGATGCTTCCTGCAATGCAAGCAAACAGTCATAGCCTCAGTTTGGAAGGCAGATAAGACTAATATTGGGACTACTTTAATTTGCATAAGAGCTCTTGTGGCCGCTATGATTTTCCATGCTCCTGCTGCTGATCTGGTTGTTGGATGGAAAGAGCCATCAAACGAGACTATTGCTTAATGATTATGATGTTGACTGATTCCGGATTGTGGAGGGTTGATAGCAGTCAATGCTTCTATTAGGATTTTCCTTTTCTGGTTTCCTTATGCTCTCGGAATTCTTGTTGAATCAATCTCCATGATTAGACTGGGTCCATGCTTTGTTGTCGCCACACTTTATCATTCCTTTCGATCCAGATTCTCTAGAAGATTATCAGAAAAAGGTCTATATCATCTTTTGAGGGAGACGTGTGTATCCAGTTAACAAACCAAGTCAGGAGTGATTGAGTAGTTCCGTTGAGAATGGTTTGGAATTGAGGATAAGCATAACTCCAGATTGTTTGTGATATAGAACAATTGAAAAAATGTGAAGATTATTCTCTTCCTGTGTGAAGCATCTTGGGCAAGAAGTGTCTACCTTAACTCCCCGTTTCTGTAATCCTTCCTTTGAGGAGAGTGCATTGAGCACTGCTCTCCAGAAAAGTAGTTTATGCTTCTGTTGTACATTGGAGTTCCATAGCTTTTTCCATACTAGGACCTCTCTATGGTCTACCTGTTGAGTCTGAGGAGAGAGCAGTTCTGTTGTGGAAGAATTTAGCGCCAAATGATAACCTGATTGGACAGTGTAACCTCCATGAGAAGTATGCAACCATATCAGTTTATCAGGGTCTGCCATTCTTGTTGGATCAATGTAGATGCCGGTAATATAAGAAATAATGTGATCCGAAAATATGGTGCGGAGAAATGATAACTTCCATTCTCCATTAGAACGAATAAGATCTCTAACCCTGAGGTTAGAATGCCTTGCCAAGAATGAGTCTTGATGAATAGGATTGGCATGATTTGGAATCCATTCTTCAGCAATGAGAGTTGAATTACCAGAAATTATTTAGTTTTTGATCTAGTTCTTGAGCAGCTGAGTACCCCATAAGACACTGTTATAACCCCAGGTTGCATTTCCAGGTGGCTGAAGTTGTGGAAAAGGAGCTGATGTACAATATTTTGCTCTATACACCCTTGAGATTAGGGAATTCGGCTGTGACAGAATTTTCCAAGCGTGTTTTGCCAAAAGTGCCTGATTAAACTCCTGAGTTGCTTTGAGACCTAGACCCCCATGAAACACTGACTTAGAAATATTCTTCCAAGATCTCCAATGAATTTTCTTTTGTGGAGAATCCCCTTTCCAAATGAAGTTGCTGATGATGTTGTCAGCCTTGTGAAGAGTAGAAGCTGGAAGCTTAAAAACTCCTATAGGATAGACTAACATTGCTGAAAGAGTTGATTTTGCCAATGTTACTCTACCTGCAAGCAAGAGGAGTTTTGTTTTCCAATCTGCAAACTTGTTGGTAAGTCTTGCAGTGAAATTTTTGAAGATCTCCTTCTTTCTCCTGAAATCCAAAGAGAGACCCAAATATTTGCTGTGGAAAGGCCCTTCTGGAATGTTTGTGGCTGTATGGATTAACTGCTTCATTGGCATAGGGGTATTGTTGCTCAACAGAATGGAGGACTTGTGGTAATTTACTTTTTGTTTTGAATAGGAAGCATACATTTTAATGATGCCTGTCAAAGCTTGGATGGAATCCTCAGTACACTCTAGGAAAAAGAGACTATCATCCGCATACATCAAAGTGGTTTATTCTGGGAGCCTGTCTGCTGATCTTGATCCCTAACCTTGAAAATGTCTGTAACTCTGATCTAATAGTGGAAGATAACACCTGTTGACAGAGGATAAAGAGATAGGGGGAAAGTGGACAACCTTGTCTCAAGCCTTTTTGAGGTAAGAAATATGGAAGACTTTCCCCATTAAGTTGAATTGAGTATGACACCGATGTCACACAAAACATGATGAGGTTACCAAATTCTCTGGGAAGCCCATATGTTATAACACAGCTTTCAAAAAAGGCCATGATGCACGGTCATAGGCTTTGCTCATGTCTAACTTGATTGCTGCCAACCCTAGTTCTCCTTCTTTTTTATAGATATGCTCTATAACTTCATGTGCTAGAAGGATATTTTCACTGATGTTCCTCCCAGGAACAAAACCATTTTGATTCTCATCTACTAGTTCTGGGATAATGGTTTTCATCCTATTTGTTATCATTTTGGTGATGATTTTATACTTCACATTACATAAACTGATAGGACCAATATCAGCTGGAGTGACAGGATTAGTTACCTTGGGAATTAAGACCAAATTTGTTTGGTTCAACTCACTAGGAAACTGTTGGCTGTTGAGGACTTCTAGAATGGTAGCTTCAACATTTGATCCAATGGTATTCCTATATGTTTTGTAGAAACCAGCAGGCATCTCATCAGGTCCTGGTGCTTTCCATGGTGCCATCTGATTAATACCTTTCCAGATTTCAGCAGAGGTAAAAGGCTGATCCAGTTCTTGAGATTGAGTAGGTGACAGGACTTCCTGGAGATTTGGTAACAACTGAGACATAAAAGATGAGTCTAGTGCTGGAGTAATATTTTGTGGAGGATCAGAGTAAATGTCTTCAAAGTGATGCTGCAAAATGTTGGCCAGCTGTGAGGGGTCATTTATCCAATCTCCATCCTGATTCTGTAATTCAGTGATCCAATTAGTTCCTTTCCTTCTAGTGGCCCATTTATGGAAAAATTTGGTATTTTGATCTCCTTGAAGTGGCCGAATCAACTTGGATCTCTGTTGCCAATATTTATGTTGGAATTGTATAGCCTCCTCAAATTCTTGTCTCTTATTTTGGACTGATTCAAAGAGATTCTCATTCTGTGGGGAGTTATCCAGTCAGAGTTGCAAGGAAGCTAAATGTTCTGTAAGACTATTTACTTTTTGATCCAGATTTTCAAACTGATGTTTGCTCCAGGAATGTAAGCTAATAAGACTGGATTTGAGTTGATAAGACAAATTTTCTTGATTATTTGGGATATGGAGAGTACCTTGAGTCCATGCAGTGTGTACTAACTCTTTGGACTTGGGACATTTCACCCAAAAGTGTTCAAAATTTTGGAGCCTCCTAGGTTTATTCGTTGTTCTTTGAGTTGCACTAAGATAGGCGCATGATCAGAAACCATAATGGGTAAGTTTTTGATTATAGCCTTTCTAAAGTGTTGAAGCCAAAGTCTATTAACAAAAGCTCGGTCCAGTCTCTCAAAAATGGCTTCTTGATGTTGCCTCTTGTTAGTCCATGTATACCAACAACCTGTATGATTGAGCTCTTCCAAGGCATTGTCTGTAAGAAAAGATTTGATCGGACTGGTATCTTGTTCCCTCACTAGTCTTCCTCCATGTTTATTTTCCTCGCTAGTGACTTGATTAAAGTCCCCTAGAACTATCATTGGATAACTAAAACTGCTGAGATTGGTATTTAACTGTGACCAAAATTCAAATCGACCTTTACGAGAAGGCAACCCATACAGGAAAACACCTATCCACTCAGCACCAATAGGTTCCTGAACTTGTACTATTATAAAATTATTACTATGCTGAATCATATTCAGCTTCACACTACTTAACCAAAATAAGGCTAATCCACCACTGGACCCTACTGAATCTATTACAAAAGAGTTCTGAAATACAGTGGTCTGATGCCAAATATCCATAACAGTAGAGTTTACCCTAGTCTCCATTAGAAATAAAATAGAAGGTTTATAATGCTTAGCTAACCTACTTAGACACTGCTTTGTAGAAGTATTGTTAATGCCTCTACAATTCCAAGACATAATACTCATGATGGTGAAGACGGTTGATCTGGTACAACCATCGCAAAACCATGCAGTTTACAAACATCTTCCAAGACTGAATTTGATGCTCCTCCACCAGTGGCAGCAATAGCTGTCTCCTGATCAGTTGTTGCCAGTCTCTTAGTTCGTCTTTGGAGATCATCATTAGAGCCTTCAGAGTGCCTTTTGAGGCTAGCCGGAGAACCATCAGAGGCCACCTCCATATCACTATCACCATCACTGTCAATTCTCATGCACCACGCAGATGTGCTCCTCTTTGGAGTTGCGGTCAGCTTGTTTGATCTCCTCCTCCTTAAAGAGTGCTGGTTGGAGCGTCTCCTGAAAGTCTTGAGACTACCTCTTGGCTTCTTTATGACTTGTGCAGGTATTGTTTCAGGATCTGATACGGCTTGTTGCACCGTCATTCTGTATTGGATAACACTGTCCTCCGAGTCTGAATCAGTGAGGTCCTCCCAAGCTGGGGCAGACATAGTCCATCCCTGAGATCCTTTAGTGAAGTGACTAAAGGAGCGATTTCGAATAGTTGCAGAAGACTTGGTTGAAGGTGAGGCAATTACACTACTCTGGAATGGGCTAATTAAAGGCTCAACAGAGCTATCAGAATAGGCAGAACTCTCTGAAGAAGTATTAACAGAAGACAACTGTACAGAAAGAAATTTCTCTAACAATCTCTCCCTAGATTGGATTGTAGAATTATCTGATGTTGCTATCTCAGTGGAATGCAAAGAACAAATACTCTTTTCCCTATCTATTACAAAGTCATCAAAAGCAGCATGAAGTACAAATACAGGGGAAGTGACTTCATCAAACGGAGGGAAATCAGGAACATTTGGAATAAATAGATCAAGGACAAAATCCAAATCATCTAGTCTATTTTCTGGAGGTGCATTTTCTGGAATGGTGTAAAAAGATTGTGGCATGTAAAAGTGATTGGAATTAAAAGAATGGAATGATTCAGGGGTACCTTCAGAAGACAAATCTGGGAGCACGGTTGGTTGGGCATTCTGTTCACTCTCACTGTGCATAACAGGGGAAGGTGGGAAATCCTCTGCTGCCAGAGCTGCCATACGACTAGGATCATAATAAACTAAAGAGATTGCTTCTGAAGGGCCTCTCATCTGGTAGGTTGGCAATAAGCCATTCTGGGGTGGAAGATCATCATTATAAAAGTTATCTGCATTAATATCTGCCTGGTAATCATCATCATCATCTCCCTGGTTAGCATCATCATGCCCTCCTGGATTACTATCATCATCACTGTCATTATCATCACCGCCGGAGGATTGGGTGGAGTACCATGGAACCCGTTCATCTTCCTCCAGATCTGTGATGGTGAATCCGTCCTGGACATAAAATTCTAGCACCCTGGAGTAGTACTCCATCATTTGCTCTGCTTTAAGGTTGGGGATGAAGGTGCTGCGCTTTTTCTTATGCGTATGAGCGCGCAAAGAACTAGTGTACAGTGGCTTCGACACATCAATTAACAAAGGCGAATCAAACTATAAAAGCTTTCTCAAAAAAGAACGAATCTAGGAACTGTTCCAAAGTAGTTTGCTCAAACAGACAGCAGCATTGCAATGAATGGCCTAGGCGCCCACATCTTTGACAGTAATTGTGCATGTGTTCATATTTGCATTGGATTTTGCCAATTTTCCCATTTCTCTTAGTAAAGTGAAATTGAGGAGTTAAGGAGTCACCTAGCTTAATCCAGACCTTGGCTCTAACGTAGGTGGCTTTGCCGAGAGATACACAATCCTCCTTGATGATTGCCACTTCACCAACTCTGCGAGCTAGATCTGCAACACCCCGATAATTTAACATTGAGATGGGGACTCTATGCATGCGCACCCAAATACTTAACTTATCAATTTTGATGCCGTCCAACACCAAATCCTCGTCATCGTAGCAGCATCTGAGGATGAGTAGGCCACCTTCTATAGCATATGGTCCATTATCCAAAATCATCGGAAGCTCCGATCGAGATGCAAATTTAATCACAAAGAAATTTCGATCATAATGAAGAACTCTGGTATAGACCGACCAGTTAGCTGTCATATAGTTCTGCATGGCTTTGTCATCAACTTCCTTATCATCAATGAGATATCCAAGCAGGGAATAGTGGAGATTGTCCCAAGATAAACTTGTCGCTTGGTCCGTGATTTGCATGTTGTGAGTTCGCAGATGAGGACGTGGGATAGATCTAGCATCGGCATCCACTCCTAGCCTAAACCCATGGTCTTCTTCAGAAAAAATCAGACCCTTGAACTGACATGGCAGTGACAGAGTCTTCATCCATTGCATGTCGATGAGACATGATTAATCGGCCAAAGCCGATAGCGGAGAAGAATGAAGAACCGTAAATGAAAGGTAGATGATTTGGATGATGAAAAAAAAACAATTAGATTTGAGGTGGAAAGGTGGGAATGTTTTACAACAGAGAATATTAGACCAAAGTAAATGCAAGAAGGGGAATTTAGGAGACTGAAAAAGACTAATGTCACCAAGTTGTGAATAACAAAAGTCTAAAAAGCATTAAGGGCTTGAATTATCAAGGATCGAAAAGGCCAAATACTTTAATGAGCAAAGCACCTGGGAAAACAACACTTTGGGGGTTGGGATATGCAAAGAAAACGGCTAGAAAACAAATAGACCGAATGTGGGAAACTGAAAGGGAGGACATAAGGCTGGATGCATTGGAAAATTATTTCAGCTGGATAAAAAGGTGGAATTTTTAATCAGATTTGAAGAAGTTGAAAAGACCGGGATTGCATGTCGTCCAAATGGCAGTAGATGGAGCAACAAGTTTGATAATTAGAATTAAAAATTAGAAAACCGAGAAGTTGGTTTAAAGAAACAAGGTGCTAGTTATGATTGTGGGTTAGTGGATAATAGGAAACCAAGAAAATTGGGGGGTTTTGGGGAGATAATTTGGTTTGATGTATTAAAAGACCTTGGTGGAGACTATTGCCATCAATTTGGCTCTTTCTTAGTATTTGGAGAAAGAGAGGACATAATCTCACTAAAAAATTGTAGAGAGAAGGTCGAGTTTACTTGAATTCTTCCGAGGATTTAGTAACGATAGGAACTACACATTTCTTGGGAAAAAAACCGGTAGAATTCGCTGCTTCCTCCTGCTTTCATTTTGTCAGCCAACAATCATTCCATTTCAGCACATGATTTTCTCCTCAAATAAAAAGAAAAAAACCCAAAATAAAATAAACTGCCTTCCACTGGTAGCAGAGCAAGAGTTGGTCTAGGGAATAAAGAAAATTTCTCGACACAGAAAGGTTAGATTTCGCCTGCTCTACTTGTCTCTCTCTTATTGAATCTAGGAATAAAAGATCAAACTAAGCTGATGTCGGTTGTACGTGAGGTGTTTGTTTATTTGTACTAGATTATTAGTATGGTCTGTTGTTAATGTTTCTTAGCTGAACAAACAAAATTGAAATATTCAATCGATCAACGAGTTTATGGTATGATAATTAACAATCATGTGCTGCTACACGAGGTTACATAAAGTACTTGAACCAAAAATCAAACAATTGGAATTCAGCCCTTCTTAGGATAGATATTCATATGGTTGTCCAGTTCTGTTGGGCTTAATGTCAAATGTTTAGAGAAACTGCAGCTGTTTAGAGAAGCGTCTGAATTGAAGTTTCAGCTGCTAAACATCAGCCAAAAGTAGTTTATGCTTATAGGATTCAGACATCGAGAGTTAGTTTTCATCCTTTACATGAACATGTTCGCGTTCACATCATTTGAGTACATTCTAGTAAATCCTTGGCCAAGAGAAATGAGGTTGTCCAAAAAGTGCCAAATCAGTTTATAGTCTCAATTGATGGTCAACATAGGTTTTATCGCCCAATTAAAAAATTCCAATCAAAATTAGTCTGACGAATTTGTCCTTTTTCAGCGAAGTTGCTACATATTGAAGATGAATTTAGGAGGATTAACACTCAATTAGAGATTGAGGAGGTGATTTGGTGCTATTGGATTACAATTCCTTTTTTGAGCAAGAATCATCGACAAAAATTTTAGCATTGAACAAAGAACTGAATTGCTTCTCGCAGTTCAGAAATTACTCACCTGCAATTCGTTTTTTGCAATTTTGTCCCTGAATTATTTTCTTTCTTCTTCCTTCTTCTCCTTCCTCATCTCTTCTTCTTCTTTCTCTTTTATTCTTTCTTCTTCTCCTTCCTCCTCTCTTCTTCTTCTTCAAATCTAGATCTACTAAACATTAAAAAAATGGCAGAACGCAGCCGTCAGCAATGTGAAAACTCACCATTGCTGCCGGTAATTTTTTTTTTCCAAATTCTATTTAAAAAAAAATTAAAAAAAAGGTTGCTGCTCCGGCTGGCCGACCCGAACGGTGGCCAGCCCGGGAATCTTGGCCGGGTTTCTCCTTGGCCAAGGGGTATGGATTGGCCTGGTCAGGGACCGGCCAATCCTTGAAGAGTGGCTGACTCGGGAATCTTGGCCGGGTTTCTCACCGGCCAAGGGGTATGGATTGGCCTGGTCAGGGACCGGCCAATCCTTGAAGAGTGGCCGATCCCGGTGAGAAACCCGGCCAAGGTTCCCGGGCTGGCCACCGTTCAGAGAGGCCAGCCGGGGCATTTTTTTATTTTTTTTGCTGTAATTTTTTTTTAATAATTATAGTTAAATTATTTATAATTAATGTAATTAGTTGTTGAATGTTGTGTTATTAGTTTTAATTAATTTAATTAGATTTGTATTAATTTATAAAGGAAGGAAAAAATTTAATTAGTTTTGTAATTTACTTAATTATATTTGTAATTAATTTAATTATATTTGAATATATGGAGTATAAATTTAACAACTAATATGTATAATTAATTATTTTAAATTTATTTTAATTTATATTCCATTAGGTATAATTAATTTAATTGAATTTATTTTAATTTATATTTGAAACTTTAGGTTTAGGTATAATTTAATATGTATAATTAATTTAATTAAATTTATTTTAATTTATATTCCATTAGGTATAATTAATTTAATTAAATTTATTTTAATTTCTATTTGAATAATTATTGTAATGGAATATTTATATATAATATTTAATGTAGGTTAAAAGGATAAATTAATTAGGTATAATTTATTTAATTGAATTTATTTTAATTTCTATTTTGATTATTGTAGTGGAGTAGTTATGTATATTCTCATTAATGTAGGTTCAAAGGAGAAAAAGAATAGACCAGATGTACCTGATTCTTTATTGTTACTTGAGTCGGGTACACGGGACATGCATGGTCGAGTCATTTCTGCCTCATATCATCGTGGGAGTCCAATTGGGCATAAGTCAAAGGGTGAGTCACAGATGGGTCAGGCTGGTAGTAGTTTGGGACTTGACGATGTATTTGATCATGCCAGTTTGGACTTACAAAATGTGAGTGACAATGATGATGTCCCGACTGAAGATATCGACTCGGAAGGGTTTAATGATTTCGTAGGTGACTCACCTCCACATTCACCTCCATATTCACCTCCAGCTAGACGAAGTAATGTTATTCGTCTTAGGGTTAGAGGACTTGGAGCTGCATCAGCATCTGCAACTGCAACTGCATCTGCATCTGCATCATCATCAGCAGGTAAGAAATTAGTGTATGGGGTTTATATTTTACATTTTAGTAGTTAAGTTTTTTCAAATATTTTATCGGGAAAAAATTGAATGATTTGTTTACGTTAATTTTAGCGAGTAATGCCCAACCTTGGGTTGTCACGAGACCAGTTGTTGGTGGCCCTCATGACGGTTCTATTATTCCCAGTTTTCTTAGTCATGTGGCCAACGCTTGATGGATAAGTCGTACAAACCCTCCTTGGAGATGGATACAAGAGTCACATACTTCAAGTTGTTGAAAGAATGGAAGGGTTCTATGCCGACTGAGGCTCAGATCTTGTTGGCTGGTACAGGGCTATCCCACAACGTGGACATCATGCACACTAACATTGATAAGGCATTGATTACAGCATTTGTAGAGAGGTGGCAGCCGGACAGCAATACGTTTCACATGCCTTTTGGGGAGATGACCATCATGTTACACGACGTGCGATCGATATTGGGTATTCCCGTAAAAGGTAGATTGATTACAACACAACCTGGAACTGTCGATTGTAAGACTTTGGTCATGAGGGTGCTGAGAATGACTAGCCATACGCTACAGACTAGTAAAGTAATCCACGGTGGAGGGGTTCAGTCGGGCCTTGTTGCGAAGACAGGCCGAGCGGCAGGGCTTGCTTTAGATCAGGTGACCGCCTGGTTATGGGTCATGTTAGGGAACACGTTGTTTACCGACAGGAGTGGGACTCGGATTAGAGCGGCAATTCTCTCCGAGTTTATTGATGGCCTAGTCACTTGTGGCAATATTTCGTGGGGGTCTGCTACTCTAGCCTAACTCTACCGTCAGCTAGGCGTGTCCACCAGATTGAAAATTGCCTCAATGTCTGGTTGCTACACACTACATCAGGCGTGGATATATGTGTACTTTTATGTTTCAGACCACCTCGGGGCGGTCCCTTTGAGGCTCCTGACCGACCCCGAGCTGGATGGTGGAATGTCTCAAATCCTGATAACAGTCCAGATCGTCTGATGCACGTTCACAACCAGATCGACAAGCTGACACCCGATCAAGTACGTCATTTTCCCACTTTTAATTAATAATAATTATGCAAAATAATGTTATTAACGTATCTTATATCTTTTGTGCAGGTTGAATGGTTGCCTTATGGCTCTGATCCTGTTTTCGATGATCCAAGGACCATATACAGTGGCTGGATACAGTACCAACATATTATTGAGCCATACTTGCATAGTCGAGTATTGCGCCAGATTGGATACATCCAGGTCATCCCTCTACCCATTCCTCATCCCCTGAGTGCAAGTCGTAGTGGTAATCACCACGCCTACAAGGTTTCATGGAGGCCCACTGAGGCGTTTGATGCTTGGATGCATTCCCATTCAGTACCGGGCTGGATCTAGAGTATTTTGAGCAGAGTGATCATGATAAGACTGCATGCGCTCCTAATTACCTCCAGTGGTACTCGAAATATTCGCTTCCTTTCTTGGTTTTAGATGCCACTACTATAGGTGGAGTTAGAACCATATCTCACGTACGTCTTTATTGCAATTCCCAATTCTTGAAATATTTATACAATATATTATTAATTGTGTAATTTATTTATTTATTTTTCCAGTGGGTCAACCGATTGTCTGAAATTCATAGACACGCACTTGAGACAATCCGCGAAATTGATGCAGATAGAGTAAAGGATCATGAGGGATT